CTGCTTGCCATTGCTATGGCATCCATGAGATCTCCTTGAGTGAAGTATCTTGTTGCTGATGTAAACTCCATTGTTCTGTGTGACAGCCGGAGGGAATTTAGAGTCCCCTTCTACTGAGGCTAAATATTTAGCATGTTTGAAACCTGCAGCAAAGCAGAGTTTGTGTTCACAAACTGGAATATTCTGTGAATCCCTGGATGGTCTGTAAATCGAGAATGTCTGATGTCTCACATTCTGAACTGTGTTTCCAGTATCTACATTTGTCTCAGTATCATCTGGTTGTAGACTAGATCTACAGCCCCTATTGAATATGCGGCAAGTTTCTTTTTGATCGAGGGCTGTGCAAGATTTTAAGTATTTCACTTTTGCAAGCCCAGTTTGCTTCTCTTCTTGTGTGCCTTTGGTTGGTTTAGGCAATGACAACGAATGAGCAGTGAAAGGAATTGATTGGGGTCGAAAAGCAAGTGTTCCATCACCTGGTGCCACCCAGTTGCTATCAGCGACCTATTTATAAAAAATTATGTGAAATACAGTTCTACAATAATCACATTACTTATATACAACCATGAATTGACAAACTGAAATCTAATTGCGCACTAACATGTATGGCACTTTGGACTTCATATCAATTTTTTCTTTCTTTTTTTTTTTTAGTAGCTACTCAATAAGCGATAACATTAAATGAAGGCTCTCGTTAGGTAAATGCCTAGGTATCCCATGTGCATCTTCTTCTTAAAACTGTAGTTGCTTGTTTGTCATACTAAGCTTTTGGCTTCAGTATGGGGATTATATGCTGTTTAGGGATTATGACTTCACTTTCTGCATTTTTGTTCCAAATACTGAAGCTTGAGAAATAAAATAACAGCCAGACAACCAACTTCTTTATCCCCTTTTCACCCATATAATGCATATGTACGGCAGCAAAGAGCGTGGACTTTAATGCCTGTATGTTGCACATATGCATCCATGGGCAGCAGACTTTTCTGTGCAGAGGTCTTGCTCACTGTGTGCTCCCAGCAAAGTAACCCACCTGTCAGACAGCTCTTGGTCCAAAATAATGTTCAGGAGTCGTCAGGCTCAGCTTTTGATCATGTGACCATTGCGACAGTCAATCACAGCAGTGATTGGACAATCCTTCCTGCCCCCCAGGCATAAATACCCCATTAAAGGGACCCTGGGGCTGGGCAGGAAGGGGTTGAAAGGTCATTAACAGCCTCCCACTTATTTTCCTTAAGACAAATCTTCTGTAAAAAATCTATATTTTGAAATAAAAGGCCTCCAACCAATCTACTTACTGAATGCTTCGTGTATATCTATTGTGTGTCCTTGCAGCTCTAAGGGGCACACTAGTAACGCAGTGGTCAGCAAGCGGAGCCACAGTGGGCATTGGAGAGATATTAGAAGGTGAAGATTCTACCAGTGTGTAGTTTTTCAGGTAGCCCATTCACCAGTGCCAGGCCATGGAAGTATTATTTTTGCCTTTCAAAGCTATCTTTTTTCATTAATTTTCCTATTTGTTAAGATGTTCTATTTTACTACAAAAAAAAACTTTAAAAAAGGATGATGTATACTTACCTTTGTGGCAGGCCATGTCTTACATTTCACAGTTTTGCTGATCCAGCTGCTGCTGTTCCTGCTCTTTACTTGTATACACAGGTGATATCTTCTCCCCTGCCACTTACTATGGTTCCTTCCACCAGCTCCTATATCACAACACAGCATTCCCTACATCACTAATGGATATAGGGGTCAGTGGGAGGAAGCCGCAGGTATCTGACACATCAGGGAAGTGTCAGATACCAGCGACACTTGCAACACTTCATATCAGACAACTCCAGCAGCATACCATAGGACATACAGTATATTTACCTCCATCAAGCTGGACAAAACATTGCCCACTATCATGTCCATAAAGCCACCCACACGGAGAAGCTTCTGCGAGGATCATGGGAAATTCATTCCATTCTAAATTGAATGCCCAATGTAATGCAGGATAACTGGCATGAGCTAATGCACCAGGACAGACCCAAAAGGTCTGAAGGGGACCTTGAAGCAGTATTAAGCCCAAAAGCAAACATTTATTATACTGCAGTCTACCAGTTCTTAGATGTGATGACTTCATTCATCTACTTTATGGACTTTCTTTCCTTTATTTTAACCTGGTGATCCAGTCACTAAGTCTTTGCTTTTCAACAGAACAAGCTGACCTGCAGATGTAGCAGTTAGAAGTGACAAACTATTTACTACTGACGGGAGATTACAATGGTCAACTTTTATTTATGTAAAATCTTTACCTGAAAAGAAAAAAACCTGTTTCTGTAACTCTTAAGTGTTAGCTGGACTTCAGTTTGTTAGTGTATTTAAATGTGTAAATACATCTAACACTTCCCTCCCCCAGATTAACAATGCTGCTGTCCAAAGGTGCCCCTTGGCTACTTTACAAAAAAAAAAAAAAAAAGCCTAAAAAAACTAATGCAACCACCACATCTAATCATTGGTAAGCTGCAATATATTCCATTTTTGGTTTGGGCTTTAAACACTTGCTGTCCAGAAGATTTACCCCCCTTCCTGACCAGGCCATTGTTTTGATACAGTGCTGCGTTACTTTAACTGACAATCATCCAATGCTGCACCCAAATAAAAGTTATGCCCCTTTTCCCCACAAATAGAGATTTTTCTTTTGGTGGTATTTGATCACCTCTGCATTTTTTTTGTGCTATAAACAAAGAAGACCGACAATTTTGAAAAAATACAAACAATATTTTTGACTTTTTGCTATAAATCCTATCCAATAAAAAAATTGTCATGATAAATTTACATCATAAATTTAAATTTTACATCACAAATTTCATCATAAATTTAGGTAAAAATGTATTCTGCTATATGTATTTTCTAAAAAAAAGTCCCAATATGTGTAAATTAATTGGTTTACATGAAGGTTATAGCATCTATAAATGGCGTTATGTATATACTGGAAATTTGTATTTTTTTATACTAGATATGGCGGTGATCAGCGACTTATACGGGGACTGCAGCGGGCATCAGGCACTGACACTGTACTAATGACACAGGGCAGGGATTAACTTTTGGGTGATCAAAGGATTAACTGTTTACTATGTGTTTTTTTTTTTTTTTTTTTTTTTTAAAGGGAGGTATGCTATTTTGTAGCTTTCTGCTGTGCAGCGAGATACAAAACCGCATGTCCATGCTGACAGGGGAGAGGCTTGTGTTGTGTACACACAAGTCTCTCCCTTGTCAGCTTTACACGACGCTCGCCAAGTGCCGGCCATGACTCTGTGATTGACATCCCTAACCACCAATAGCGGCGTGAGTAGGGGGGCGTGTGCCGCTACCCAGAAATGCAAATAATGTGTGTATATATACACGTGATTTTGCGCAGCCCTACCACCCTGTAGCAGTACTTCTACTATAGGGCAAGCAGCTAATACTGCCTTTTTTTCACCATTACAACACAGATGCACATGGCTTAGTAAGCTGTGCATCACCCAAGCACATATCAAGACACTCTGCTATAAAGCATGCAAACTGTCTAACACTTCTTGTCTACATTTCTTAAATGCAAGATCTTCCCCATCTGGCTCCTCTACTGCTTTCTAGAACCAAAAAAGGAGCATCATCATGAAAAAGGCCTATCAATAAGATTCACCAACTACAAGATCACTGTCCCCAGCTCCACAGCTTGGATTTGTCTGCAGTCAAAGCAACAAGCACTGGCCTGTGCTATTCCCATGAATCCTAGGATGTCAATAACTTCAGAAGGAGACTGCTCACAATTACAGAAACTGGAAACCCATTCAATAGGTGCTCTCTTAGGCTACGTTCACACTAGCCTTGTGTGCAGGCGGCAGAGAGGCGTTTGGGAAGCGTTTTTTACCGCTTCCCAAACGCCTCTGCCAACTCTGCACATTACAGCACATGGTGCTGTTCTAACAGGAGCGTTTGCGTCGCGTCGCGTTGCGTCGCGGCAAAACGGACGCCTCTGGTCGAGTCAGGAGGCTTTTAAGCCTCCTATTCTCGTCTATGGTGCCGCTCCGCAAACGCCCGGCCGGCGTTTGTGTGCGGTTGCGACGCGGTTGCGGGGCGTTTGCGGAGCGGTAACACCACTCAAATGCATTATAGGCGTTTGTGGGGCGTTATTAACGCTCAGCAAACGCCTAGAAACCGCCGCTAAACCGCGCATGCGGCGTTTGCGGAGCGTTTGCCGAGCGTTAAAAACGCTCCGCAAACACCGGACCAACGCTTGCCAAACGCTATAGGGGCGTTTGGCAAGCGTTGGCAAAACAGCCTAGTGTGAACGAGCCCTTAGGCTCTACTTTGATTTATCCAGGTAGTAAGTTGTTGGGTTGGGGGGAAGGGGGGTACACAAGATAAATGGAATGTATATATAGGTTTATAAAGCTGGGGTAGAACTAATTACCAAAAGTAAGATTCTGTTGCCATCATAATCTTGGGTTTGCCATCGGGTGTCACTAATTGGCACACAGGGGTAAGGCAACAAAGGAACGAGTTGTCCTATTGCATGTATGGTAAACTGCAGAGCACATGCATCTTTCACTTGCACAGATACCCCAGGGGGCAGCTGCTTTAGTGACAGTTGTATGGATATGTGTTTGGTAGAACGTAAAACAAAAAAGCAGAATCCAAACTTATGGCTGGTTGCCTCCACACCCAGAATTGTTTCATAAAGCCGGACTGCATCCTCATAGTTATCACAACTACAGTACAGGGTTACTCTCAGGATCTCTGTTCCATAGTGTACACGCCTTATTCCCCAAACTGGCGTATGCACATCCAGACAGTAAAAATTGCCATTTTGACTGAATGAACAGGATTGTCCTAGGTTAAGCTCTGTGTTGACATGATCCCATGGTGGCAGCTGGAAAAAGCTTTTCAGTAGAGAGATCCTTTCTTCATTAAGGTCTTCACGGAGGAAAAGTGTCACCGAAATCCCTGGAAATTCAAATTTCCTCTTCCGATACTCATATCTTGGTACTGGAGCACCTTGTTCTGAAACCAATGAAGAGAGGAGTATCTACATAAAGGCTTTGCAGTAGTCGGTCAATTGCCTGGTGGAATATCGCAAAATCACCTTTACTGACAAGCAAGTGAATGGTGACCGGCAAGGCAGAGTGTTGGGCATCCATCTAAAGACAGATTAAAAAAAAAAAAAAAAAAAAAACAAAACTAATCATGATGACATTCCATGATTGTGATACAAAACATTGGACCTGTGCAATCAAAAAAGGATGGTAAGGTTCTGCTATTCCTTTAAAGTGAAACAACTCAGGTGTACAAAAACATTGCTGGCAGGCAGGTTTTTATTGCAGACGAAATTTTTGGAGTTGGTTAGCTAAAAAAAGGATGGTTTTTTTTTTTTTTTTTTTTTGCAAGCAATTTTTTTTTCTGAGCTTAATGCATGAGGTAAAGTTCTGCATCTTTCCATCAACCAATTAAATGCAAGAAAGAATAAAATAAAAAAAAAAAAAAACCTTGCACATGATGGGGCTTGCTTTGCAAATTGAATTTGCACTACATTTTCACTACGCTGAAAGAAAATTCCCTTGCAAAATAAACAACCTAATCTGCCTTTGGTAAATCAGCCCCTGTATGTCTCTGCCCCAAAAAGTCTTAGACGCCTACTAGCAATGTTTTTTTGTGAGCATACAGTGAACCATGCTTGCACAGCTCTATGCACACTTCCGGAATCTTTTTTTTGCAGCACACAACACAACCTCAAGGCATCGTTACGGTGTAAGGAAAATGGTGTAAGGAAAAAGCAGTGAGCTTGTGTCATTCTATGCAGATCAGTGCAGCTCAACAGACGGGCTGAACAAGCCATAATTGGTACCATTATTTTAGCCACATTAATCTCTTTACATGTAGATCTAAAAAGTAAGTAAAAGGACTATACATTCCATTTAAGGTGAACATTACAAGAAGAACTCACAGATAATGCACTATACTGTACTTTTAATAAGAAATTAATATTGGTTAGGCATATAGAAATGTTGTTAAAGACACAGCTACCTACAGTATGATGATTACATCATGCCATGTTGTCCATGTTGTGATTAAGACTGGAAAAGTTCTTGTTTTACTGCACAGATTTCACAGGATCAGGAAAGGCACTGCTTCCTTTCATTGTACTTTTTGCTCCCTGTAAATATTTGCAGACTGAACTGTCTGATTCTGTTCCAACCTATTGGGCTTGGTCTAATAAGCTGCAAAAGGGAAATAATGTCTATTAACCCATAGGGCATGGGGTCAGCACTGTATTCTTAAAACTGCAAACTGATTACTTTACATGATGAGACATAATTGTGATTTGTATTATATTATGAAATAGAAAGACCTTTTAAGCCAGCTAGCCATGCTAGAGAGTGATAAAACTGGCCGATAGATATGCTGTTCTATTCTATGACTTTGCTCCCTTTTGCCATTATGGCCCTCATTTATCTAATTGTCTAATTCAGTGGTCTCCAAACTGTGGCCCATGGGCCAAATGCGGCCCTTTGCCTGCCTCTATCTGGCCCTAGGGGTATTATTCCTCCCACTGACTCCAGCAAGAAGGTACCATTTCATTCACTGGCACAAACTATGAGGCATTTTTCCTTCCACTGACACCAATGATGGGGAACAATTCCTCCGACTGATATAAACAATTAGGTACTATTCCTCCAATACCAAGAATGGGGCACTGTTCCTCCCCCTGACACCAACGACGGGACACTGAACACAATCATAACGAAATGAAGCAGGCTGTTCTATGATGGTTCAGGCATACTGACAAATCTTTCTATGCTGAAGCTTTCCAGGCATTAAACGCGGGGATAAGTGAATAAATGTAGCAGGGGAGTATGCCAAAAAATAAATTTGCAAAAAATAAATAAAGCAATTTCCACTACTTGAAATTTGTTCTTTTATTATATAAACGCAAAAGTCTCAGTTTGACTTAAACGCCCTTGTAGCTTTTTAGAGTAAGGTGTACACGGGGAGGGCTTTGCACAGCGCAAACAAAACAAAATGTAGCTTCCAGCAGACTTACCAGCTAGCCAAAAAAAAAAAAAGTTTAACAATTTGCATTAAAAACAGAAGTTATAGTTGAACGACATTTGCAAATATATGTGGAAGCCATGCTGCCTCGTGCAGGACTTCTTTATAGTGCAGTCCTAACTCTAGTCTATGACGGTATACTGGAGCATATATAGAAATGGATAAAACAAGGGTAGGTAACACCTGAAGGCAGCCCATTCCTCCTTAAAGGATATGTTCACCTTTGGAACATATTACATGTTCCACCTGTTTTTAGTTCAATACGTTCAAATTTTCAAATTTCATTTGGGGGTGTGATTTATACAATATTATAATATATTCATAATATCTACACAGTTTTTAAATCAATATAGGTCTTTCCATATACTTGTAAAATGATGATGGCATTAATAGTAGTATTAGTAATATCCTAAACAATGACACTTACCTTTCCTGGTTTAATATAGTAGATACTGCATATCTGTGCATCTTTTTCCCTCCATGATTTTGTTAATTCCTTTGTTCTCTGTAGTTTGCATCAGTTGTTGATTATCCCTGTATGCTTATTATGCAAAGTTATATAATCTGGCCTGGAAATAAAAGACATATATCCACTTAAGTAATACATTTTATCAGTGTTGTTGCTAGCATCTGCCCTGATACTTCTAAATCTGTTACCTTGTTTCCAATTGTGTTAGGACACCCAATAATCATGGGATATTTGGTTTATCTGTAAAATCTTTTTCTTGGAATACACCACAGGACATAGGGCATCTTCGTATTCATTACAACGGGGTTATGCTGCCCCTTTTCAGGTGATTGGACACTGGTAAAATAAAAGACAGGCAATCCCTACCCAGACATAACCTCTCCCTACTAGGCATAGCTTCAGTTTTGTGGCAAGCAATGAAAAGTATAGAAGAGGAGAGGGATCCCTGTGTCCTGTAATGTACTCCATAAAAAGGATTTTACAGGTAAATCAAAAATCCCATTTTATTGATCATACATCCCAGGACACTTGGCATCCTCATATTAGGGAAGTCCTAAAGCAATAAACATGAGGAGAGGGCAATATTTCATCAAGCCAACAGGCCTCAAATAAAGACATCCAAAATCAACCAAGTGTACCCAAGTACATTCACCCCCCCAAAAAAGTGCAACTGCAATTCTTTTCTTAACACAAATTGTAAATAAAGAAATAATATGTGTGCTAGGTCAAACTAATATTTGCACTACTCACGCAGCCACTGAAACAACTGTGATACCAATTGAAACGGCAACAAAACCAAAAAACAGCAGCGCTAAAATAGCCTTATGGAAGGCTATAGGAAATCATATAACGAAACAAATAAATACAGGTGTGTATACACAACCCACAAAAATAAGTGGTTAAAAGTGTCCAATCATAAATGACACCGAAGTAATTAACTTTATATAATCATAACCCCAAATGGTGAATAGAGATCAATCATAAACTGTCCTGTGCATACAAAAAAAAAACTGATAAATTCCTTATATTGCCATAAAATTCAAAAAGTGTCCATAATGAGTAATCCTTTGGTGAGAAAGGCCAGCCACACAAGATGCGATCTCTTCCACCACAGGGTGTCCTCCACAAGATATAAAAACACACAGATGCCTCTTATTGACTTTGATGGACCATTATATTCTAAATGGTCAGAGTGCGCTCATGGTTATCCTTCAATCCCAATCCACCAGAGACAGTATCCATGTGAAGAAACTGTGGGATCAAAAATATAACACTCCCATTGTGAAGTACATATTAAAAGGCTCAAGCCGTTTTTTTTTTAAATATAAAAGAAAAAAGAGGTGCGTACATGATGTCATCATGCATTTCACACCCATCACTATCAGCGTTTTCTGTGAAGCGATCAGCCTGTTAACTTTTCTATCTGTGTTTGGATTTTACATGGAGTGGTAGCACCTCTTTTTTCTTTTACATTTAAATAAACAGATTGCACCTTTTAATATGTACTTTACCATGGGTCTTCTTCACATGGATGCCGGCATACTTTCTCTGGTGGATCGGGATTGGAGGATAACCATGAGTGCACTTTGACTATTTATAATATAATTGTCCATCAAAGTCGTTAAGAGGTGTGTGTGTGTTTTTATATCAGGTGACATCCTGTGGTGGAAGAGATCACATCTTATGTGGTTGGCCTTTACTCATTATGAACACTTTTTGAATTTTTGGCAATATGAGGAATTTTTCTGATTTTTCTTTGTGATATTGTCCATGTGTGCCAAGTTGAACGTGAGCCATACTTTTTTCCAAATTAAATCAATATCTTGCTCCACACTTTCTTATAAAAAAACAAACAAACAAAGCTGTACTGTCCACATGCATTCAATTTGTCCACATGTACCACAGTGTGTAAAGATATCCAATGTGTATACAACTTCACACTCCTTATTTCAAGCCTTTTTCACTTATCCCCGGTGTTTTATAGCTTATGCTCTCACCTTTACCATAAACCTTACATATATTAGGTCATATGTGCCTTCACCTTTAAGTGGGGTTCTTATAAGCCACAGCACCGATCTTCACTCCATCCTCCAGATACTTCACAATCCAGTTCCATGACACTCCAGAGCAGGGCAATGGAAACTCAGAAGAAAGATGATTATATAGTGCTCCCAGCTTCCACACTAATATTTTTATTAGAAACTTATCATACTTACCTTAGTGCACTGATGTGGAATGCACTTTATAAACTAAGTAAGGTTGTATAGCAGTGGGCATAGGGATCAGAATAAAAAAGTTATAATTAACCTAACTTGATTAACTATTAAGTACTGTGTATATGTGTGTGTATGTACATACATACACACATATATATACAGTCAGGTCCATAAATATTGGGACATCAACACAATTCTAACATTTTTGGCTCTATACACCACCACAATGGATTTGAAATTAAACGAACAAGATGTGCTTTAACTGCAGACTGTCAGCTTTAATTTGAGGGTATTTACATCCAAATCAGGTGAACGGTGTAGGAATTACAACAGTTTGCATATGTGCCTCCCACTTGTTAAGGGACCAAAAGTAATGGGACAGAATAATAATCATAAATCAAACTTT